CCCTTCTAATTAAAATTTCATATTTTTAACAATTTAAATTAATCTATAAAAATTAGCTTTACTCCAAATGAAAATAAAATAAAATGTTAATAATTACTATTACTTTTTTTCCCTAAAAAGACGAGCATTAAGGAAAAGTTACATACTTTCTTTTTGTTCCTTTCTCACCGAACATCACCTGCCATTGCTCAGATGATCCCCTTTTCTATTAATATTTTTTAAAATTTTTGAATAATTATTTGTTTTTATTATAAGAATTACAGATTCGTTGTTTTTTCTTGCAAAAGAAAAAAAATTATTTATAATTTAAAATACAAAATATAAACAAATAAATTTCTTAATATTAGAGTTTTTTTCTTATTTAAAAGTTTATGTTATACAATTTAACAGCTTCATACCATATTACAAAACAGCATACTTTTTAATAGTTACTGACTTAAAAATCCACCGAAAGAAGAAGAAAAAATACTAAATTAAAAGAGGAAAAAAAATAAAGAGAGATCGTAATATTATCTGATTATATATTCTATATTTCTCCATATTTTAATATCCGATGGGAATTTTATGGGAAAAAAGATTTAAAAAATTCCAAAATTCATTTAGGGTTTCTCTTTCAACAAAGAAGCCAGTCCGGTGACCATCTTCGCTCCTCTATCTACACTTTTCGGTTTGACTGCCGGCGGTTGCCATGGGGATGAAGCTGTCGCAGCGATCACGTCACCATCAGAGGTATTTTTCACCAGGGACAGCGGTATCGATTCACCGGGAATTTCTTCTGCCGGTGGAATTTCCTCGCCGAAGATCAAGTCCAGCTCTCCGCAGTCGGTTGGTTCTTTGATTTCGCGTTTTGGTGAAGCGGCGACTTTTTCGAAAGCTCTGGTGTAGGGAGACAGCCATTTGGCGCGCGTGTACTCCACTTTTCTCCAGGGAGGGAAGTGCATGCCCTTCTTCTTCAGACTCTGCTTCGCCGCCTCCGACACGATCGAAACGATCCGGTCCAGCCGTTCAGGTTTTCCGACGAAGATGTACGGCAACGATTGGACGATCGCCTTGTATGTCCCCGTCGCCCGTGCCATCTCGAACTCCGATCTAAAGTCAATATCGATCAACAATCTCTCCCCTTCCACCACCACATCTATGTACTCGTATTCACCTGGAATCCAAAATCAGAAAATTTTTATTATCAAAATAAAAATGATTTCGGAATTAAAATTCATATTATTGTTTTTTTTTTAAAGAGATTACCAGCAGGAAATGATGAAGTTTTCTCCCATTTCGATTTGCAAATTGAAGAATCGTAGCCGAGAGACAATAGGCCGTCGGTGACAATCTTTCTCAGATCATCTTTCGGTTTTTGATTTTTGTTTTTTTCAACGAGCATAGCTGTGTCTGCTAACAGATTCCTTTCCTCCACACTCGGGCATGGTATCAAAT